ACCGTGCTAACGTTCTCGCCTGGCATCACTGTTCGTAGCTAAGAAATGAGTCACAATCTCTCTCAGGCGAAGACTTGATTCGTGCCCGGAGATCAAAGCGGAGTATTCCGATTTTCTTTCCGAGTATGAGTTACTCAGTCATATGACAAAGGTTGACCCGTCGTCAACCACCTCTTCACAAACCGTATATCTTCCCCATCAACCAGTTATTCGAGATGCGAGTGCCACCATTCGATTGCGAGTCGTCTTCAATGCCTCGAGTTTCACCTCAAACGGTACGTCCTTAAACTCGCATCTCCACGCAGGTCCCAAATTGCAGTCTGATCTGCCTACTATTCTCTCTCGCTGGCGTCAGTTTCGTTACGTATATAGCGCTGACATAGCCAAGATGTATCGACAAATGTGGATCGATCCCCGCTATAGAGATTTTCAGCGAATTGTTTGGACAACCGAGGATGGAGCGACCGTGCAGGAGCTTTGTACAGTCACCTACGGCACGGCGTCAGCGCCCTTCCTCGCCCTTCGGGTTTTGAAGCAGTTGCTTGTCGACGAAAGCGACACTTTCCCTCTCGCGGCTCACATCCTTATAGACAACACTTACGTCGACGACGTTCTTTTCGGAGCTCAGACTCAGTCACTCCTCAAATCAGCTCGCCAAGAACTATGCGCGCTTCTCGCTCGAGGAGGGTTTGTCTTGCGGAAGTGGGCCAGCAACCATACATCCTTGCTTTTCGACATTCCATCAGAAGATCACGGGCTGGCGTGTGATTGAGTTCTTCGGGTGGACGAAACACTTAAGATCTTGGGCATTTCATGGAATCCGTCGCTCGACGCGTTTCAATTCCGCGTGACGCTCTTGCGTGAGGTTCCGCGAACTAAACGACAGGTTCTCTCGACCATTGCTAAACTCTTTGACCCGTTAGGATGGGCTTCTCCCGTCATTGTCACTGCCAAGATCTTCATACAAACACTCTGGAGTCTTCGTGTTGATTGGGACGAAGTTCTGCCTTCCAGCACGCAGAGTCGTTGGGCCGCTATTTATCAAGCTCTCTCTCATTTAAATGAGGTAACGATCTCCCACTGGACGGGACAGACTTTCGACTCTCAGCGATGCGAACTTCATGGTTTCGCGGAGGCCTCTACTGTGGCTTACGCCGCTTGTGTCTATTTGCGACTGATATCATCTTCCGGAGAGGTCACGGTTAAGCTGCTTGCTGAGAAATCTCGGGTCGCGCCGCTCAAACCCATGAGCATCCCCAGGCTGGAGTTGTCGGCTGCCTTACTTCCAGCGCAGCTTATCACATTTCTCCAGAGCGCTCTGAAGCTCGATCAGCACTCCTGCTTTTGTTGGACGGACTCAACCGTCACCTTGGCGTGGATTCATGCTCATCCCGCCAAGTGGAAAACTTTTGTGGCAAATCGAGTTGCTGAGATGCAGACTCTTCTTCCAAGCGCAGAGTGGCGTCATGTCTCAACAGGCGACAATCCGGCGGGCTGTGCTTCCCGAGGACTCCTCGGCTCGGAGCTTCCGACTTTTCTGCTTTGGTGGCAAGGTCCTCCATGGCTTAGCCAAGACGCAAAAGAGTGGCCCCAGCCGCTCCTCCCGTCCTCCCATGATTCAGTCCCCGATATTCGCAATGTTACTGTGCACGTCGTGCACACTCCTAAGCAATGGGAATTGTCTAGTCAATTCTCAAAATGGTCCACGTTGCTGCGCGTGACAGCATATGTAATCCGGTTCATTACGAACTGTCGCGAGAAACGAGGAGCGTCATCCGCACGAGCGATTTAATCTCAGACTTATTCACTCTCAGCAAATGACTGTCATCGCACTCAAACGTTCTGGATCCGCACGATCCAAACTGCCCAGTGAAAACAATCTAGTCAAAATGACGTCAAAATACTATCAAATTGACAATGAGTATGATGTCAAATTGAGTAATCAAAATGATGGCAAAATGACGGCAATTTGACTGCAAAACGTCCCATGCCATGATGCTAATCTTGATAGTCATTTTGATGTCAAACAGACGTCAAAATGATTGTAGCTTTTTACAGGAATAAATGAAAAGTTCTACTGCAAAACTAACATTTTTTTCACTTTTGGACAAAAATAAGTTTTTTTGATATATTCTTGTTTGATATTTTAAATAAATAAGAACACATGAAAAACTTATTTTTACCCACAAGTGAAGAAAATGTAAGTTTTGCAGTTAAACTTTCTCGAATGCATTAAACCTAAGTCACAGAATAGAAGCAGATACATGGGCATGAGACACGTGGAGACACGCAGCAACACCGGCACGTGCACAAGACCGGTACCAAAACTTGGCTGTTTTTGCCGAACCTCTGTTCAACTATAAGCGCACTTAAGCGGCGAGCGCTTGCCTACAAATATTTGGCTGGACAGAAGCGCTGATGCTGAGTTAAGCGGCACTGCAATCGAAACCACCATCGAAACTACCAAACGAACGACTGCTTAGCTGCAGAGGTTCGGCAAAACACAGCCATTACGTGCCGCGACTTCGAGCCCGAGCACACTCGCTGCTGTTTTCCGCCTCCACTCATGCATACAGAGTCGCGCGCTGGCTCTTCAGAGTTCGTCACGCCGAGAGAGAAAGAATGACGTTCTGTCCTATTTCCTACTCGCTCTCACTTGTCAGTCGATGCGATCGGTCCTCGGCATGGGCGGTGGGTCCGAGTCAATCCGAGTTACCGACGCAACTAACAATAAGTTATAGACCGCGATTTTATAAAATTATTATATGTAAAAAGAATACAAAATAAATTGTATTCCCTTTCTCCACAAGTGGAGAAAATGTAAGTTTTATTTGTAGCTAAACCTTAAATACTTGCCCCGTAAGCATATTGAACACGACTGAGAAAGAGATAGACATACAGACACCGCAGGTTACAATTGAAAGCGTAGCAGAGAGTACACAAGCCGAAGCAAGAAGCCCACAACTAGCACACATAAAGGTCACGGAATCCATCTCCATTCCACGAACCGAGCAGATAACAAATCTATTGCGAATAAGCCATCTGAACCGCGAAGAAAAGAAACTACTAATGGAAATATGTGAAGAACATAATGACGTCTTTCGTATAGAAGGAGATCACTCACACATACCACAAGTGTCGAGATAAACACACGCCAATTCCCCAAGCGTGAACGTGAGACCTTATCGTCTCCCAGAGAAACATAAAGAAGAAGTCAACCGACAGATGAAGGAAATGCTGAACCAACAAATAATAAGGGTAAATATATCGATGAAGGCCAGCCCCGATAACCTTGACCTTGACATATGTTGTCAAGGTCGCCCTCCTGAGTGACCTTGAAGAGGTTTTAGCCGTCGCTCGTAGTTCGTTAAAAAGTTATATGTATACAAAGTTGATTAAATAAAGCATAATTTTACGAATCATATACATGTCTTGAAAAAACTCGTAAAGTCTCATGATCACGTATTACGATTTCTGTAACTACTAAACACAAGGAATATTCCTACAGCTTCATGTTGTTCTCAATTCTCAATTCATTCAAATCTCTGTTATTGTAATGTGTACATATAAATCATAAACATGTAAGTTGCTCGTGTGTTTAGCACGGCGCGCTGCGCGCGCCCCACCCCCTTCCCCCATCGCCCCCCGCCCCACCCCCTTCTCCCCATCGCACCCTCCCGCCCCA